TGGCTGGGTGCTGGCAGGCTTGCACCTGGCACGGGCACCGTAGCCAGCCCGTGCCCCTTTAAGGGGTCCGGGGCCGGGAAGGGGGCATAGAGTTTCCCTGGTGTTGGCCAGAGTGGCCACCAGCTAGCCTCCTACAAGTTTGAATTAAGGGGCTACACACCCCTTAATTCGAACTAGGTAGTTCGAACTAGGCTTAATCCTCGTAAAATGAGGTTTACCTAGTTCGAACTAAGCGCTCCGCTAGTTCGATTCAAATTCGAACTAACGGAGCGCTAGTGTAGCACCTATGAATGTTAGTTCGAACTAACGTCCGTTAGTTCGAACTAACTTTGTAGTGTAGACATACCCTAAGTGACTGATGAAAGCCATCCTTAATTGAGTGAAAACTAATTCTAATTATTTTCCTATTGTCTTAGGAAAAAGTACAAGGGAAACTCCCTCCAAGGTTTAAAAAACAATTAAGTGAAGTTTATCAGATTCAGTCATTAGTTTGATAGGGTATAAAATTTGTTTTAATTGTAAAATCCCTTCACCATGATAGCTGTGATCTCATCGAAAGACTGGAGGAACTCAACAATCTTAGACTTATGGGAAGGCTCTACACGGGCAAAGCAACGAGCATGTAGGCAAGCATCTCTCTGGACAGCTGGGGAAAGTTCATCAAACTCACGTCCAGTAAAGGCTTTTGAAGAAACATCCTCATCTTCTCCAAAGATACCAATACGACGACAGATGGCAACTGCTGTGCCCTTATTGTCACCGGTAATCATAATAACACGAATACCAGCTTTCTTACACAATTTTATAGATGAGGCTACTTCAGTTCTTGGGGGATCTAGCATACCCACACAGCCAACAAAGGTCAAATTGGTCTGAAACAAGAGGACACTGAGCTTTAGAGCAAAATATTAAGAGATGCTTTTATTTCTTTGGTAGCACAGTACACAAATCATTTTTCCCCACAAGCCAAAGAGAAAGAAAGAATTTTTACCCCACAGTATCAAAAAAATTTATATAGAATTTAGGACTCTATAAATTTGCATGCCAGGCCCTGCCAACCCCTCCACCCC